GAGCGCCCGCCGCTTCGGATCAGGGGCCTCGGCGCGGATTGCCGCGCCCGCCGCGGGCGCTGCTGGCGTTCCCCTGGGGCGGGAAATACCCCGCGCCGCTCCCCTGCGCCTCCTCTAATCGACCTACATGGAAAGACAGAAATCCACGCTGAACTCTTTATTCTGCCCCACGACCTACCCCCACAACCCGCCCCCCTCCACCTCGAGTTTCTTAGAAACGTCGAGGTGTGGCCTTCCGCCTTTCTTGGGACGGGGTCGCGGTCCCTCTGCGTGGCCTTCGCCTCACCGCAAGATCAACCGACTCCAAATGCCCCCAATTTACCCAGGACCTATTATACCAGATACTTCCACAAGATTCCACCTCCCCTTTCGCCTTCTCAAAGTAAACGCTGTCCACAATTTCCCGAATAAATGTCCTTTCAAAGGTTAATGGTCACCCCAACAACTCCACTGGGCTTTATATTCAGGCCTTTACCCCACCCCGTCCTCCAAGTGTTCCCCTAGCTCCAGGCCTTTTCCCAGGTTCTTATCACTCTGGCCCTGCAATTGATGCTAGTTGACAGAGATTTCCTCTGTCTCTGTGTGTGTGTGCGCAACGTTAAACCAATAAAATATGATCTACAAGAAAGGGAATATCTTAGAACATTAAAAATAATAATAAAGGTCCTCAATCATTTGAGTGCTTATGTCTTAATTTTAGAAGGATTTCATTCAATTTTGAAACTACTCTTTTCCTAAAAGTATCTTAGTTTCAGACATTTTATACAACACTTAGTATGTTTTCACAAACCGAAAGTGAAAATGTAACTCTATTACAGTTGGAGATTGAAAAAAAAAAGTTGAGGTAAGTTTCACTTCTAAGACATCACTTTGAGAGCTGCAAACATAAACTATTTGTAAAATAATACATTTCCCACGAAAGAACTAAAGTTGGGAAAAGGGAAGAAAGCAACAAAAAAAAATTGAGAGGAAATTCTTACATTATATTTTCCTAAATTCAGTTCTCTACAATTTCAGAAGAAGAAGGATGAGATAACCAATCCTCAATATTAAATAAATAAAATGATAAAGAAGTCCTCATAAACCCCTGATTTAGTACATAACCAGATGGGTTTAAATTATGAAAATATAAAGGAAAAGGTTAACAAAATTCCACGGAAAGCCAGAGAATAAAATAATTTCCCTTTAAGTCTAGAATCAGTTCATAGATTATACTAAGAGATGGATTTAGCAAGTTCCTGCATTTTTGACCTGCAGCAGGAAGTCAACAACAGCTCAAAAGGTACCTTAAGCTTGACTGGTGTCGTTTCATTAAAAAAAAAAAAAAAAAACTTTTATTCATACCCCACCTTGTTCCAAAAAAGATTTCAAGTTACTCTAGCTGGCAATTGAATGTAATGATAATAGCCTTCAGGTGTCCTCCAGGCACCAAAACAAGACAGACTGGCTTGCTTTGATCATTATCCGTCTGTAAATAACATGCCATAGGAAGAAAATACAAATTGGTTATGTGCTTAGTTCTTTCAGAGATCCAGCGTAACAATTACTTTTGCTTTTCCACAGAACAATTTATAATCATCAATCTAAACAGAAGAGTAAATACTGATGAACAGGTTAGCCATAAATAAATAAAACGTAAACCAGACAAGTAATTTCATTTAAAGGTAGATAAATGTCAAATAATTATGTTCACTTGTTGTCACTTGAATCACTTCAGCATTAGAAAGTAAAATCAGATCACAAATAAATATATGTGTATTTATTATTAGTGTGGGTTTCCAGAAAGTACAGATGACAGAAAATTAAGAAAAACTGATAGAAGCAAACATAAACAGAATACTCAGCTACCATATTACTATTACTGTGTTTGGCATATTTATTGTGCCTGTTAAGAATCACAGAAAGGTAAAAGTCACAAGAGTCATATTCTCATCAGAGGGAAGATGGGTAAATTTTCTAATGCCATGTCACCTATAAAAGGCCTATGCTTATGTTTACTATATGTTCACTATATGTTCAGTGTATATTTGTGTGTGTGGCAGTAGTGAGGGTAACACATGTCTACTCAGTCAATGAACATTGTCATTTTTAATGACTTACTTAGCAGAAACTATACATCCACATGCTAATAGAAATACAGAAGGTAAAGGGAGCACTTGTAGAAGGAACAAGTAGAAAAACCATTTTGCAATATAATAAGATATGAGCACTAATACCTCTTTTTTCTCCACAATAACAAGCCTTGAATTTATCAAATGGAAACCCACTCAAGTTCTCTAACCTACTCTCCAGCTAAATATGTATAATTATGTTAGTATTTACTATACATAAATTCTCTTTGATAAGCAAAAATCCTCATGCACTTATGAACTGGAAGTATTATACTGATAGCAGTTTCATTAAGATTTTATTTTTTGATACAATGTCCTGAGTTATCTTATCCATCATCCTTAAGCTATTTTAAAATGTCACAATATTTTAACATCAAAATTTATAACAATATGACCCTAACCTGAAACTGTTTTGTTATTTCTTCATATACAATGTAGAGCTATATTTTATATAGGAAACTTTCCAATTTAGTTTAAGGATAGTATAAGACATTAAAATGTCTTATTAAGATATGGCTATAAGCACCACTAGAAATTTTATAGTATTTTCAGTTAATTAAAACACTCTCAATAATTTGGGGGGTAATATACAAATTTTCAACATAACATCTGTTTCTGTCTTCTAAATCAGTGCTTTATTACTTTGGAAGTAATTATTAACATTGTTAGATTTCTCCGTTACATTTCTTTATTTTTTTTTAAATAATATTGTATTTTTGGTGAAAGTTTACACAGCAAATTAGGTTTCCATTTAAAAATTACTACACAGATTGTTCAGTGACTTTGGTTACTGTTACATTTCTTTTTGACACTGGTAACCTAAATTTCCATTTCAATCATCATTACAATAGCAGTTACCATTTACTAAGAACTTGCTATGCTCCAGGTATAGAGAAAACCAAGGTTGTTCGGTATATATTAGGTTTCCATTGCTGTATACACAATTCAGCAGCTTAAAACAACACACATTTATTATATTACAGTTTTTGTGGATCAGGCGTTCAGGCACAGCTTAGCTTGGTCTTCTACACAAGGTTTTGGAAGGTTGCAATCAAAGTGTCACCCAGGCTGCAATTTCGTCTGGATGCTTGACTAGGGAAGAATCTGCTTCCAAGCTCGCTCAGACTGTTGCATTTCCTTGCAGTTGTAAGACTGAGAGCCAGGCTTCTTGCTGGCTGGATACTGCCCTCAGTACCTAGAAGTTGTCTGCGGTTCCTTGACACATGGTTTTTCCCAATGTGGAAGCTTACTTCATCAAGTCAGCAAGCAGAGTCTCTAAGACGAGTCTGACAGCAAGACAGAATGACATCCTCTCACCTTGGCCATATTCTATGGGTTAGAAGCAAGTTACAGTTCTACTCACACTGCAAGACTGGAGATTACACACAGGCATGAAAACCAAGAATCCTTCAAGTCTGCCCTCCACCACTTGTGGTGATTAATACCACAGGATTTGGAGTTTGGCTACATATGGATTTGCGACTCAGCTATGTTACTCTAACCTTAGTTTCTTCATCTGCCAGACAGGAGTAATAGCCTTTTTATACTTTATGTTCCTCCCATGTAAAATGGGGCTTATAATAGAGTTGTTGTAAGGATTAAATAAACATCTTACCACGGTACGTGACAACATGCAATGCTCAAAAAACACTTGCTAGTTTTCTTCCTCTTTCTCCCGCCCCTTCCTTCCCCTCTTCTTATTTTGATCTTGGCCTATTAGAGACCCCTAATGGCATTTCTACCCTTTTAACTGCTACTTTTTCAGTCTGTGTCCCAAGTACATATTGTGTGTCTGTGTGTGTGTGTGTCTATCTGTACCTAGGGCCTTTCAAAATCAACTCTAGTATCAATACCCATTGCCGTCAAGTCGATTTCAACTCATAGTGATCCTATGGGACAGAGTAGGACTGCCCCATAGGGTTTCCAAGGAAACTCAATGGCAACCGGTTTGGTGTTTTTTGTTTTTAATCTTTATGGAAGTCGACTGCCCGCCTTTCTCCCACGGAGCAGCTGGTGGGTTCGAATCCCTGACCTTTTGGTTAGTAGCCAAGAGCTTAACGCTACACCACCAGGACTCCTTCTAGTATCAATACCTTTTAAAATACAGCTGGTGGTATTGCAGAAGTTATCTCCAACTTGAGTCTGGCAAAATCAATAAAATGATAAATCCATAACATTAGGAAGAGAATTATTAGACATGAAGGCTCTGAGAGTTTAGAGAACTTTGCTGAGATTGGCTTTTCATGCCATCCTCATCATGTTCATCCCAGCTCTGCCACTTTCTAGTTGAGTAACCCTAGGCATGTTACTTAAGCTCTCGAAAGCTCAGTTCCTTATGGGGCTGATAATATCACCCAATTATAGATGTGCTGTGGGGATTAAATTTAAACTACGCTTAAACAGTATAGCATAGTGCCTAGCTCATAGTGCTTAAAAATGTTAG